CCTACACGGATTCATTTCCATTCGGGGAAGTGGTTCGTTGGGAGACAACCGCTGGAATATCCTAAAACGTGCCAAAACACAGTGTTCGGAAAGTCGACGCCAGGACTCAAATTGACTGTTGCGTGGTGACGATCCCGAATTGCACCAAAACGCCATTCCTGGGACTTCAACACCGCGAAAAAACATGACTTTAGCGGCCTGACAGCCCTGAATCGTTCCAAAACGCCGTGTCTGCTACGCTCACCATGGGATCCCGTGAAACTCTTACACTTTCTAATGACGAATGCGCGCGGCGCTAAGGCGCGAGCCACATGATGAATTGAAAACGCCCTCAATCCGTGAAGTTGTTTCATTTTTTCCTGGTATGGGGCTCCTTCCCAGGGTTCTTTTTTGGTTTGCGGGCCAAAGGCCTTGTACCAGAGGGGTGGCGAGCAGCGGCGTCGGAATTGGGCACGACAAAACAGACGTGTGCAGAGGCGGGGTTCTCCGACATGTGTTTTTCTGCACGAGCGCGTGAGGCACGTGTTTTCAGGTGCTGCGGGCCCCGACGGGGCCGCACGCCAGGGACCCGACTTGCAGGTGCCGAGGTCCTTGCATGTGGAAATGCGTGCGCGGAGGGGAGGGGCGCGCGGAGGGGGGGTGGGAGGCAGTACACGCATTCGCCGGGGAGCCTCGCCGAAGACATGGGCTGTCGGCGACCGTCCCTCTATCGACGGAAACCAGAAGGTACCCATACCGCTACCCCACGGGGCTCTCCCAGGGTGCGTGCTGACTAGAATTTCGAGGCGAATCCCAGCGGCGGCGACGAGGGCCTCCCAGAAGGACCGAAAAGGGGAGAACGGCCGAAAGGTAGCGGTATGGGTACCTTTTCCTTTTCTGGCGATCGTCGCCCCCAATTAGACTCTCCTGAACCGTCGCGGCCTCGAGCCGTTTTTGCTGCAAGGCTCCTCGCCCAGTGGGAGGGCGAGCGCCCGCGCGCGGGCGCTCTCGCGGGCGCTCTCTTGTCGCAGGCGGCGCGCCCACCCCGCGCGCCTGCGGCGGCCTCGCGCCGCGATGCCCACCTCGGGGGGTGCGTGGTGGTGGCGAGTGACAGTGGCCACAACAATAACAATGGGGATGGCGCGGCGATGGCGATCACGATGGGGATGAGGATGCTTCTGATGGTGGCGGTGGTGGTGATGGTGGCGGTGATGGTGGTGACGATGCTGATGGTGGTGGTGATAGTGACGGTGGTGGTGACGGTGATGGTGGTGGTGGTGGCGGGAATGGTGATGATGCTGGTAATGTTGATGATGGTGTTGCTGCTGATGCTGCTGAGGATGGTGAAGATGATGATCATGCTGATGACGGTGATGACGATGACGATGGTGGTGATGGTGATCATGATGATGATGTTGATGCTGATGCTGATGCTGGTGATGGCCGTGGTGATGGTGATGAGGATGCTGATGATGATGTTGATGATGATGATGATGATGATGATGATGATGGCGGTGATGATCATGGTGGTGATGAGGATGAGCATGAGGATGGTGGTCATGATCATGATGATGAGGATTGTGATGGTGATGCTGATATTGGTGATGAGATGCTGCTGGTGATAAGAGTGGTGGTGATGAATGATGGTGATTAAGATGAGGATGGGAATGATGACCATGACCATGATGGTAATGGTGCTGATGGTGATGTTGGTGATGGTGATGACGATGATGCTGATGATGATGATGATGATGATGAGTATAATGAGGATGCTGATGATGATGATGGTCATGATGAGTATGATGATGATGATGATGATGATGATGATGATGATGATGATGGTGTTGATGGTTGTGGTGATGTGACGGCGGTGGCGGCGACGCCCACGATGGCGTCGACCACGATGTCGACGACAGTGATGACGGTGGTGGTGGTGGTGGTGGTGGTGGTGGTGGTGGTGGTGGTGGTGGTGGTGGTGGTGGTGGTTTTGGTGGTGGTGGTGGTGATGGTGTCGGCGATGGCGAGGGGGAGGCGAAGCGGTTTAGAGGGGAGCAAAGCGGGAGAGGTGTAGGAGGGAGGCGTCACAGGAGCTAGGAGGCGAAGGGGACGGCGGGGCTGGGGGATCGTGTGGGATGTGGGGAGAGAGGGGCGGCGAGAGCGATACAGATGGGGCGGGGGTGCAGCAAAGGGGGCGAGGGATATACCAAAGAGAGAGACAGAGAGAGAGAGAGAGAGCGCTGGGGGAGGGAGAGGTAACGTGGGAAGGGAAAGGGTGGCGAGAACAGGGAAGAGGAGAACATCGAGGAGGGATAGGGATAGGAAAGAGGAAGGTAAGAATCGAGGAAATCCAGGAGGATAAGGAAAAATAGGGAATAGGTGTTAAAGAGAGGGGGAGGGGAGAGGGCGAGGATGGGACAGGGTGGAGGGTGAGGAGCGGGTGGATGCAGAGAGCAGCACAGAAGACAGGAGAAGTGGATGGAATGGGGCCTTTCTTCGCTGCGGCTAACGACTGACTCGGCACTGACTCAACAGCCCAGGAAGAGTAGGACACACGATATGATTGGACATGCGATGCTTCCCGGAAACAAGTATAACATGGTGTAAGACAACATAACCTTTGGAGGACGAGCAGTGCGAGGATGAGGGATAGGACGACGGGGATTGCATCATGGAGATGAGGTGAGCCTGGTTGGCGAGGTTGAGGTTGAGGGTTCTCTTTCTCGTTCGCGTGCCTTTTCCCCTCATCCGCCTGGCTCTCTTCCCGGCCACCTCTTGCTCTTGTCGGATTCGCTTTCAGGGAGCGCCGTCTCACGGGTACGCCCTCTCAGCTCGCTTTAGCAGTGCGCTGTCCTTCCAGCAATCCCCCATCGGCCGGATATTATTGGCCTCGCGGTGGCATGATCAGTTTGGCGTCGGCTTGTCTGAGACGAAAATTGAGATGGGGAGGGCGAGGAAACAGGTGGCGAGAGGGCATGGGCTTGGCCAAAAGAGACCGTAGCCAGCAGCAGCATGCCCGGGGGAGAGGGAGGAACCCGAGGAAGGAGGAGGAGGAGGAAGGCGGAAGAGGAAGAACAAGGGTGGGCAGGGAGGCGAGGAGAAGGAGGAGGAGGAGGAGGAGGAGGAGGAGGAGGAACAAGAGAAGGGAGGAACAGGAGACGGAAGGAAGGATGACCGAGGAGGGGGGAGGAAGACGGGCGAGGGAGGAGGAGGGTGGAGGAGGAGGAAAAGGACCACGAGGGAGCAGGACGAGGTGGAGGAGACGACGAGGGCGGCGACCCTGCCGCCAGTGTTCAACATTGAACACCGCCGGCGACCAAGTATCGGTCGATCTTCAACGAAATGACGTTGCAGAAATTGCCGATCAATGTTCAACGATCCCGAGTTTTCAGAAACCAACATCGAAGTCGGCAAGACACCAATCTGCCGTACCTATGTAGGCCAACCTTGCGCTGATCATATGGCACATTCCAGATAGGGCGCCTGTTGTTTGCAATGTGTGGTGCCGCTGCGGACGGTTGACGGAATGGACCAAGCATCCAGCAACGTGTAAGTATTCGAGAGGCATCGTGTCGAAGGCATCGATTACATCGATGTTGGGTGGCTTCTGATGCCACCTCGGGGCTACCTCAGGGACCTCTTAGGGCCTTGTCGGGCGACCTTCTGGTGCATGTGAGGGCATCTAGTGGTCCCCCGAGAGAGTATGGGCGAGACCCTCGGGGGCCTCAGCATTGGCAGGCCCCTCTATCCCTTCCCTTCCTCTAACCCATCTTGTGAACTGAGGTCATCCTTCCCTCCTCCTGTGTTGCACACACGCCCGTGGTTCGCCCTGGCCTTACGCTGACCCCACATCGGCGCGAACGCGCAACGCCGCGCACGCAACACAAAGACCCCCACCCCCTTCTCGCCCCTCGTCCCTACCCCCCTCCCCGTCCCTCTCCATCCCCCCTTCTTCGTCCTCCTCCCCATCAGGAGCAGGAGGAGGAGGAGGAGGACTAGGAGGCGGAGGAGGCGGAGGAGGAGGAGGAGGAGGAGGAGGAGGCGGAGGAGGAGGAGGAGGAGGGGGGGGGAGGAGGGGGTGGGAGAGGAGGAGGAGGAGGAGGAGGAGGAGGAGGAGGAGGAGGAGCGAGGAGGAGGAGGAGGTTCTCGCTCGGCCGTTGTCCCTCCGCCGCTGCGACTTCACCCAGGCCCTAGCTTCGTTTGCTGCCCGCGAGCCCCCGCTCGGTCCCCGCTCGTCGCTGCTGAACGAGTGCTCGGGGACCTGCGCTTGGCTCGGGCCTACAGTGGAAGCCCATGCCAAGAAGCACCCTGCTTGTCGCCAGGGCGCCCTGGGTTTCTTTGGTCTCGACGGACTGTGGAATGCGTGGCCTCTCCACACCAAAAGCCAGGGGCCGTCCGGGGGTCTCAGGGCTGGGTTTCTTGTGGCAGGTTTCTTGTGTCCGTTCTCCACGCCGGTGCGCAGGGGTTTTTCTCCTCCTCCTCCTGCTTGGATGCTCTCCCTCCTCCTCCTCTTTCTCCTCCTGTTCCTCCTTCTCCTCCTCCTCCTCCTCCTCCTCCTCCTCCTCCTCCCCGTTCTCCTCCTCCTCCTCCTCCTTCTCCACCCTCCTCCTTGCGCCTCCTCCGTCTTCCGTCCTCTTTCTTCTCCTCCTCCATTGGCGTCGCCTACGCCCTCCGCCATCCCCGCTCTCCGTCTCAACAAGTCTCTCGCGTTGCGTGGGATGGTTGCGCTGCCCCTTCGGCTTCACGGCGCCGCCCAGCTGTCGCTGTGCACGGCGCTGAGCCAACATCACGAAGGTCTCTCTCAGGCGGCACGGTCTGCTCGGCGTTGCAAGCGCACATCGGCAGCGATTGCACGGCGAACGGAAAGGATCGGCATGGCCTGCAGCATCCTGCGGCACCCCACGGCCCAGAAGGCCCAGCTGTGCCCCAGCTGTGCTTTTCTGGGTTTCTTGCTGAGCTTGGGAGTGATGCATCAAGTATGGTAGAAGATTTTCAATATATTCCTTGTCTGTAAGAGGATGGGCATGGTGACACTCATGAAGGAATTCCGGCATGTGTCTCGCAACCATCTGAGCGTCAGCCTAGCGATGTTGCTGCAGCCTCAGCGAAGCTCGATTGAGCTGGCCCAGCATTTGTACCCTCAGATGCACAACCAGAGCGACCTGCTGAGTCCTCGTGTGCTGAGTCCGCGGTGGTCGCAATCCCGGAGATTATTGCCGGAACGCAGTTGGCTTACTATGCGCAGCTGAAGGCATTCAACGATTCGGTTGAAGCTCAAAGCACCACAATTAGCAGACTCCTGGCGGAGAGACGCACAACAGCAACGCCAGGAGTTGGTCAGTGACAATGCTGATATCTCGACTGGCTCCGAAACACTGCAGCAACGCAAGGTATCGGTGAAGGGGACGCCTGCCCCCCAGGCGGCAGGAAAGTTTATATCCCTACAGTGCCATGTAGGAGTATCAACGTTCCAGCCGCCCTGGGGGCAGGCGTCCCCGACGGCGGACAAGTTTAACGTTATACCGTTCCTCGTCCGCTTAGAGATGTTCGGCATCGCCCTCGCTTGGCCTGGGCGCGCGTCCACGGCAGGTGGCAATTTGCCGTTCTGGTCGGAGGCGCGGACCTCGTCAGCACGGTGGAGGCATTCGCTAAGGAATGTGCCCAGGGGGCGTCAGACACTGGGGGCGTCCTTAATAAGGGCGGCGGTGATATCCATGGCCAATCCACGATCGAAGTTCCACTGGCTCCGAGACCCTGGATTCCTTATCCATTGGTTCCTGATCCAATGCCCTCACCGTGCCAATCCCAACATCCCGAGAGACGCGAGATAGAGTGCGACCACCTTGTGGTCGGCGGCGCTCCGGGCCCCGAGCGTGGCAAAAGCAGGTCTGCAGCCACGAGTCGTCCTGGTGGAAGCTGCGATGGTCCCACTCGCACCGAACCGAGGGCGGCGCCGATCAGCTACCAAGAGTTTGACGACACTGTCCTTCCGGCCGAGCGGGCAGCATACTTCGAGAAGTTCGGGGCCTCGGCTATCGATGGGGGGCCTCCTGAGCCCTTGTCGATTGAGGTGGCCAACTCGAGCCCTGATGTGGAACACTTCGTCCTTTTCCCCTTCTTCGTGTGCTGCTTCGTCGGCGAGGAAATTATTTGGCTTCGACAACTCTCATTCTCGCTCTGCGGGTTGTGGGAATCTCCAGTGATAGAACAAACATTTGAATATCTATTTGGCCACGCTGCACCTCCCTATCCTCCTTATCATTTTTTTTCTGTTTCTCCTCCTCCTCTTCCTCCTCTTCCCTCTCCTGTCTCCTTCTCCTCATCCGGCCTACCCCCCTTTCCTCTTCGCCCCTCCCTCCACCTCCTATTCCACTCCTCCCCGCCTCCCAGTTCCCCTCCCCTGTTTCTCCGCCTGCCTCCTCCCCCCCCCCTGTTACGCTCCCCCCCCTCCCCCGTCCCCCTTCCCCCGCGTCCTCCCCCCTTTTTGCCTCACCACTCCGCACCGCTGCTCCTCCCCCGTCGTTGCTCCTCCCACCCATCTCCCACGCCCCCCGCCTCCTTCCCCTCCCCCCCCTCCCTCCTCTCCCCTCACCCCCCCCCTCCCCCACTTCCCCTCCCGCCCTCTCCCCACGCGCCCTCCCTCCGTGGCCGCCGGCTCGAGCCCGACGCGAGGGGCAACGGGGCAGAGCCCCCCTCGCGGGCCGCGGCACCAACCCACCCGCAGCGGCTCACAGAGGCCGCCCCTCACCCGCCCCCGTCCTCTCGCGCAGCGGGTTCGCAGCGTCGTCCCGCGGAGGAGGAGGAGGAGGAAGAGGAGGAGGAGCAGGAGGAGGAGGAGGAGAGGCGAGCCAGGGAGGAGGAGGAGGAGGAGGAGGAGGAGGAGGAGGAGGAGGAGGCTCGAGGTTATCCCTGCCCGCTCATGCGCTGCTGTGCCGACGTCCCCCTCTGTGCCCTTCTCCTCCCCGTCCGTGTTTCATCGGTCTCCCTTGTTCTGCTTCGCGTCCTGTTCCTACCATACTCGGGCCCACGATCGTTCGCACACGCCCCATCCTCTTTAACATGCATACACATGTCGCATGCATACACACATATATATATATAGATATATATATATACATATACATATACATATACATATACATATACATATACATATACATATACATATACATATACATATACATATACACACATATATATATATAGATGTATATATATATATATATATATATACATATATCCCTGGGGGCGAGGCCGGGGGCCCCAGGACAGGTGCCTGCACCCCCCATGGGGGGACGGGGGCTCATTTTCTCAGTGTTTTTACACGGTTTCCGCGTCCTGGGCCTGGGAGGCCGCCGCCTCCAACCCCCCATGGGAGGACGGGGCGGCCGGGGAGGTCCAAAATAGTCCAGGAGGGCATCCAGAGGCTCCCCAGACGGCCCAAGCGGGCCCCGAGTCGCCGAAAGACCGCTCCAGGACGCCCAAGATAAGCTCAAGACGGCCCGAGAGGCTCCCCAAGGCACTCCACGACGCTTCCAGACGCCTCTCCAAAGCGCTTCACGAGGCCGAAATCGTTTATTTTACGAAGGTTTTGGACACATTTTGCTTTTCCCGCCTTCTCAGCTTTCCCACGCTCCACGACGGCTCAAAGGCCCCCCGCGGACGCCCCAAGAGAGCCCAAGAGGCCTCCAAGAGCTCAAGACGGCTCTGGGGGCGAGGCCGGGGGCCCCAGGACAGGTGCCCCCACCCCCCATGGGGGGACGGGAGCTCATTTTCCCAGTGTTTTTACACGGTTTCCGCGTCCTGGGCCTGGGAGGCCGCCGCCTCCAACCCCCCATGGGAGGACGGGGCGGCCGGGGAGGTCCAAAATAGTCCAGGAGGGCATCCAGAGGCTCCCAAGACGGCCCAAGCGGGCCCCGAGTCGCCGAAAGACCGCCCGAGGACGCCCAAGATAGGCTCAAGACGGCCCGAGAGGCTCCCCAAGGCACTCCACGACGCTTCCAGACGCCTCTCCAAAGCGCTTCACGAAGCCAAAATCGTTTATTTTACGAAGGTTTGGGACACATTTTGCTTTTCCCGCCTTCTCAGCTTTCCGACGCTCCACGACGGCTCAAAGGCCCCCCGCGGACGCCCCAAGAGAGCCCAAGAGGCCTCCAAGAGGGGCTCAAGACGGCTCTGGAGGGCCCCACGACGGCCCAAAACGCGCTCAAGACGGGCGAAGAGGCTCCCAAGACGGCCCAAGCGGGCCCCGAGTCGCTGAAAGACCGCTCCAGGACGCCCAAGATAGGCCCAAGACGGCCCGAGAGGCCCCCAGAGGGCCCCAAGAGGAGAACCGCGAACCGGAAATTCGAGCCTCCCGCCTCCACCGGGCCCCGGGAGGCCCCAAAGGGGCCCCAAGAGGCCCCAGGAGACCCCCAAGAGGCACCCAGGAGGCCCAAACGAGGCTTCAAGAGGCTCCCAAACAGCCTCCCCCATGCGGGCCTCTCCGGCCCTTCCCGGGGACCATCTTGGGCCACCTTCTCCTCGGGGTTCATAGCCCCGAGCGGGCGAGAATGCGAGAACCGTTTAAAGACAAATCAGATATGGTTTTGTCACTTGAGGCTGTCCTGTGGGTTCCCTTGGGCGGGATGGGGGTGAGGGGGGATGTAGGAGGAGGAGGAAAAAGCAGAGGAGGAGGCGGAGGAGGAGGAGGAGGAAGAGGAGGAGGAGTAGGAGGAGGAGGAGGAGGAGGAAGAAGGGAGGAGAAGCAGGAGAAGGAGCAGGAGCAGGAGGAGGAGGAGGAGGAGGAGGAGGAGGAGGAGGAGGACAAGGACCAGTGTACATCCAAGAGCCATCAACCATGTTGCAATGAACGCTCCCGCCTAGCTTCTTCTTCGTAGGCTCCTACGGGAATTATTTGTTCATTTCGGGAAGTGCTCCATTTGACGGCAATTGCCCGAGAATCCTCAATCGTGACAAGACGCCCTTCCTGGGACTTCAGCGCAGCGAAGCAACATGACGGTTGCGCCCTGGCATTCTTAAACCACGCCGGAAGGTCGTTCATGGAACCTCGACGCCGCGAATCCGCTTTATTGTTGCGCCCTGACGCTCGTAAACCCTGCCAGCACACCATGCCTCGGACGTCAACCAAACGAATCCCCCAAACGGTGGCAAACCTTTTCAGACGACTGGGCGCGGCGCCAGGGCGCCTACCACGTGTTGAAGAGGAGCCGCCCTCGGTCCTACCAGCGGCTGCAAACACCGACATCGGAAAGCACGCGGCGCTGGGGCGATAGTCACGTTTTGAAAACAAACAGCCGCCCCTCCATCCTTGAAGCTGCTGCGACTTGTCGATGATGCTCCGACCGATCCGCCTGCCCCTCTTCTGTGCGAGCTCGCGTTCACAATCGGGGAAGTCCGCGCTAGAAACTAAGCGCGCGCGAAGCGCGCGCGTGGTTGTAGCACATATATATATATACATATATATACAAATATATATATGTATATATATAGATATGTTGCTTTTTGTTCACACATCTGGGCGTTCTTCCCCTCTATCTCTTTCTCCCCAAATATACAAGTACCTGCACATGTGCGCATGCATGCATTATGAGTACATTAGTGTGCCGATCATTGTTTCTTTTGTTCTCTCTCTCTCTCTCTCTCTCTCTCTCTTTCTCCCCAAATATACAAGTACCTGCACATGTGCGCATGCATGCATTATGAGTACATTAGTGTGCCGATCATTGTTTCTTTTGTTCTCTCTCTCTCTCTCTCTCCCTCTCTCTCTTGCTATATATCCTCTCCCTCCCTCCCTCTGGCTCTCTCTCTCTCAATATCTCTCTCTGTCTCGGTACCCCTTCCTTCCTGTATGTATTGCTTGTGCGGTTATGTTGTTATTGATGCGTTTCTCTGTATGTATGTGGGCATGTTCATCTCTTTTCCTCCCGCTCTCTCACACACACAACAAGTGTATGTGTGGCAGTCTGCCTCTCTCCTTGCCTATATGTTTGCAATTATTTCCATCGCGCTATGCGTTGTTTCCCCTATGTATATAAGTGTGTGTCCATGTCTTGATCCCTCGACGATTTCCCAAACGATGCTTGCACTTAGGGGCTTTCATTTGCCTCCCAAAGGCGTTCATTGGCTGGGTCCGGAGAGGATTTTCCACGTTGCCGCCCGTTGCCGCCTCGTGCGCTGGGTGGGTTGGGCGAGGTTTCGTCACGTTGCCGCCCAGTGCCGCCTCGTTGCCGCCTCGAGTTCGGTGGGTCCGTTGGGGTTTCGCCACTTTGCCGCCAGTGGCCGCCCCGTTGCCGCCTCGTGAGCTGGGTGGGTCCACCAGCGAGGTCTCGCCACGTGGCCACCTCCTTGCTGCCTCGTGCGCTGGATGGGTCTGGGGAGGTTTTGCCTTGTTGCCGCCTCGTTGCTGCCTCTTGCACTGGTTGGGTCCAGAGAGGTTTCGCCGCGTTGCCGCCCGGTGCCGCCTCGTTGCCGCCTCGTGCGCTGGGTGACTTCTGCGAGGTTCCGCCACGTTGGTGCTCGTTGCCGCCTCGTTGCCGCCTCGTGCGCCGGGTGGGTCCTTGAAGCTTCGTTGTCGCGTACACACAGCTTGCACCACACAGCTTACACATCCACAGTGCAATGGCTCAATGCATGGGGCCAATGTACCTGCACACGTGTGTATGCACACCTGTATGTCGAACTCCCTCTCTCTCTCTCTCTTTTTTTTTTTCTCTCTCTCTCTCTCTCTCGCTCTATCCCTCGGTCCCCCCCGCTCTCTCTCTTTCTCTCTCTCTCTCTCTACAGTCTTCTCCGCATCCACTTCCCCCCCCGATTCAGCTGCCCGCGGCAAGCCCCGCCGCCTTGCCGACGCAGGATCGACGCAGCGCTGCGATGTTGCAGCGTGGCGGCGACCGTGACGCTGCACGGCTGTTGCGGTGCCTTCACGGGGGCCTCGCAGCCTCCTCGGGGGTTCTCTGGGGGCCTCCCCGGGCCCCCGTTCCTGGACGACGCTGGCCGTGCATCGAGGCTCCCAAGGCCGTGCGGTGACGGACCGCGCGCAGCTACAGTGGAGGCCCATGCCAAGAGACACCCTGCTTGCCTCCAGGGTGCCCTGGGTTTCTTGGGTTTCGATGGTTTCGCGATGGAAGGCGTGACGTCCCGCACCAACAGTCGATGGACGTCCTGGGGTCTTGCGGGCTGGCCTCCACTGTACCTCGAAATCCCAAGAGACCTCGCCGCGCGGTCCGTCACCGCACGGTCTTGGGACCTCGGATGCCCAGGTCGACCGACGCGCCCATGGAAGACGGCCCGAGTTACCGACGCACCGCGCGGTGTGGTCACCACGTCGTTCAGTGGCGCGGACCAGCTCGATGCACTCCGCCGCGCATGCTAGCTCGCGCAGAAGCGTGATCCGTTCACGCCTCCTGCAGGGCTGGCGTCGCCCAACCCTCGGGACCCCTGACAGGGAGGGCCCACATCGATTGGTGCCCGGTGGAAGCCCGTGCAGCCTCCATACCCGTCGGGGGGGCCGTCTTCGGGCATCCTGCGGGAGGCTCGTCGGCGGCCGTGAGGGGTCCTCCTGCCCTCCCGGAGCCCTCTTGGGGCCCGCTTCGGGGCTCCCCATCGGGCCTCGTGAAGATCCCGTGGCCACCCGGAGCCGTCCTGATGCTCGGTGATGGGGGGGGCCCTCTCGCACTCGCGAAGCCTTGCCTCGCTCGCACGCGCGGCACTGAAGCGAGGCCGAGGTCTTCCTTC